AGCCCTTTGAGTCCAGTGGTCCCTACGCAGAGCTGGTGGGCTGCCTCATGTACCTGATGACTTGTACTCGGCCGGACCTCGCCTTTCCCCTCAGCATACTTTCTCGCTTTGTTGCGACTGGGAGACACCGTCCTGTCCACTGGACAGCTGCTGTGAGGGTGGCGAAGTACCTGGCGACTACATCAGGCATGGGGCTTGTGCTTGGAGGGACTCAGCCAGTGGCGTTGACTGGTCACTGCGACTCTTCCTACGCTGACGACGTGGAGACTCAGCGCTCGACTCAGGGTTACTGCTTTAGTCTGGGAGCTGGTGCTGTGTCGTGGAGGTCTACACGGTCGTCGTCTGTGGCTACTTCCAGTGCGGAGGCAGAGATCTACGTGTCAGAAGTCTAGGCAAGAATCAGAAACAGGAAAGAGAGGTTTTCACTAGCAGGCAGTTGAGTACATATAGCAAACCCTAATTTGGGCTGTACTCGCTATAGAGTACCCCACTGCAGGCTAGACAAACATCACATTCTGACACACCCCCATAGTCAAAGTGGGGTACAATCAACACAACAAGCAGGCAGAGCAATAGTTCACAAGGATAAGCAAAGCTAGAGGCTATCACAGAGGGCAAGTGAGGAGGAGGAGAAACTGTGGGGGGCGAGAAGATGGGAGGCGACGGCTGAAGTTGCAGACACACGGGCAACAGGAGTGCGCAGCACTGACGCTACCAGGCGCAGAGCCCCGGACTACACGGCGACAGGCGCAGCTGGCTCTCTGTGCTCCCAGGAGTGCTCACACTGTGGCTACCGGGCGCTGAGCCCCGGACTACATGGCCACAGGGGGTCGTGGCTCTCTGGACTACCAGGAGTGCTCACACTGTGGCTACTGGGCGCAGAGCCCCGGACTACACGGCCACAGGGGGTCGTGGCTCTCTGGACTTCAGGCGCTGCGGACGACAAGTCGGCTACCTCCGGTCAACCTCCCCCAACTGTCCCACACCCCTTTCACACACTCCCTGCTGTACCCCTAGCACTGCTCACACGCCACCCCCCTCGTATCACTCCGACGGCTCCAACACATCCACCCCCCTCAGCGGCAGCTGCTGCAGTGGGAGACGGAGGAGGAGGAGCAGGGGACGGCGCACACACCTGTCACCCCCAAACTCACCACCCCCACACTCGCCATCCCCAAACCCTAAAACAGGCAGCAGCGGGGGGCGGTGCGCGGGCAGCAGCTGGGGTGACGGCGCGCGGCTCGGGCAGCAGCTGGACGGGCCGCGCACGGGCCTGGCGCGGGCCGTACGAACCGCGCGCGGGCTGTACGGGCCGCGCGCGGGCCTGGCGCAGACCGTACGAGCCGCGCGCAGGCCTGGCGCAGGCCGTACGGGACGCGCGCGGGCCTGGCGCAGCCCGTACGGGCCGCGCGCGGGCTGTACGGGTCGCGCGCGGGCCTGGCGCAGGTCGCGCGAGCCGCGTCGGGCGACGGGGGGCGACGCGCGGGTCGACGGGGCAGGAAATCGCCGCGCGCTCCCGGGGTGCGCGGCGGGCAGGGCAGAAAAAAACCGCCGCGCGTCCCGAGGGCGCGGCAGGCAGAAAACGAAGCGCGCCCGAGGCGCGCGATAGGCAGGACAGCAGCGGAAGCTAACGGTGGGCCCATCCACAGGATCGACCCGGGGGGGTCGACCTGCTCTGATAGCATGTCAGAAGTCTAGGCAAGAATCAGAAACAGGAAAGAGAGGTTTTCACTAGCAGGCAGTTGAGTACATATAGCAAACCCTAATTTGGGCTGTACTCGCTATAGAGTACCCCACTGCAGGCTAGACAAACATCACATTCTGACACTACGCTGGTGCCATGGCGGCACAGGAGCTTCGCTGGTTGACCTTCTTGCTCGCCGACCTTGGTGAGCGGCCTCGCTCTGCACCGACCCTGTACGCTGACAACAAGGCCATGATCCTCCTCTGTCGAGAGCCTCGACTGGAGAGCAGAGTGAAGCATATTGACGTGAGGTACTTCCTCCTGCGAGAGCTGCAGCGACGCGGCCAGGCACGCCTGGACTTTGTGGCCTCAGAGGCCAACACTGCAGACGTCTTCACCAAGGCCCTGGCGCTTGGTGACCACCACAGGTTCTGTGTGCAGTTGGGGCTTGTTGAGGTAGGCCCTCGGTTGCTGTAGACTTGTTACTTGCTCTGCTTGTTGTGTTTTCCTATATATATCATAGTGAACTCTTGAACTGGCCTTGTGGCCGCTTGCTTGTGCTCGGAATTTGTGTGGTGTCCTTGAGATCCACCCTGAGCTTGGCTTGCTCTTGTCTTGACTGGTCTTGTGACCGTTTGTTCACCCTGCTTGCTTTGATGCCCCTCACTTAGCCTATGGGGGTGTGTCAAATGTTGAACATTGTTATAATAGGCTGTAGTGAGTAGCACTGTAGAGAGTACAACACTTTTTAGGTTTGCTATTTGTATCACTCCCTATCCTAGTTGATGCATTCCGTTGTTCGCTAACTTCGAGACGAAAGGACATTTCCGAGAAACTTTCTCTCGATAAGGTTAAATTCGGGGTCCACAGAGTCGATACTCTGTTAAGTCAGGGTCCACTAACAGGCTAGTCTGTTACACTATACTCAAAATCAGGGATACGAAATCTATTACGCTGATTGGATCTGGGTTGAGAACTCATTAATTCTGAAATTTCAGTCTCCACCAAGTGGAAAACCTGAAATCACCCTGAAATCAGCTCATGGCTTAGCTTGAACCCCTGGAGGTTATCTCAGGGTTTGCACAGCCAAAGCTCAGAGTAGTCAGGCTAAATTACACTTGAAGAGGAAAAAAATCCGCCACAATTACACTTCACATCTTCATGAAGCATGAATTGCTGCATGGAGTGGATATCCTCCTTTGATGAGATGAATCTTGGCAGTATTTTCGGGGTGCATGCTTTTGAGGCGCCTCAAAATCAGTTACACTTCACATCTTCATGGGGCATGAATTGCACGGGTATCCTCCTTCAATGAGATGAATCTTGTCAGTGTTGTCGGGGTGCATCCAACGGCTGACATCTTCGTTCATTGGCTGCCGTTGGATGGGTTGGAAAGAAAGAAAGAGAGGACGCTCTTGAGCAAACATCCATTCATACATACCACCAACCAATGCATGCTCGCAAACACACACTACCACACTTGATATTACGGGTGCATGTATAGCAAACTGTATGGCCCAAGACACATGACATGCTTGCAACCGTGAAAAACAAACGAGAGAAGGGATACGCACCACCCCATTTGCAGTGCGTAGGGTCCAAGTCATATCGGAGTGGATGGAGCCGTGCTGGACGCAGGAGAAGAGGAAGACGGCATTGGCAGGTGTGGAGAGCGGTGCAGATGGCGACGAGAGCGGTGCGGCAGACTGTGCGCCGGTCTGGAGGAGTGGAGCCACTGCCGTAGCCAACTTTTTCCGGTAATCTGAAACCCAGGAGTGAGGCACGGTGGGGCAAAAGGCAAGGTGAGGCAAGGTGAGACAAGGTGAGACAAGGCAAGGCGTCATCAGTAAGCAGAGGAGGGTAGGAGAAGATAAGGCCATGGAAGCACAATCAAATGTTCACACTCCATCCCTCCCATCTTGTTCACTCTCTCATCACGTGTGCACACAGATTCACTCAAAAACCAACCCACTCACTCACTCACACATACATGCAGTAATGCCACACGCCCTCAATGACTCTCTTCTCAGCGCCAGAAACATGCAATAGGCCCCAGGTACCCATCTGGTGTGCAAGCAACAACCGGAGCGACTTTCCAGTCGACTCAGAACTCACTCTCAACGACTTCTTTCTCGGCGGGAGTGCACTCTGTGAGGTTGTTGAAGCAATGCGGAGGGTGACGGTATCCCGTATCCAGCACCTGGGGGGCTCCAATGGCCATCAACTGCAGGTCGGGTCAGGAAGGAAACAAAAACGGGTGATGACTGGCGCTTGAAGCAAGTAATCGGACGAGGGTACCCCTTATCCAGAGGAGCAAGTAATAGCATCAGGGAAGCCCCAGCACCTGGGGGGCCCCAATGGCCATCAACTGCAGGTCGGGTCAGGAAGGAAACAAAAACGGGTCATGACTGGCGCTTGAAGCAAATAATCGGACGAGGGTATCCTGTATCCAGAGGAGCAAGTAATAGCACCAGGGGAGCCCCAGCACCTGGGGGGCTCCTATGGCCATCAGCTGCAGGTCAGGTCAGGGAGGAAACAAAAAAACCGGTCATAAGTGGTGCTTGATTCAAGTAATCGACGAGGGTACCCACATCCAACACCAGGGGCGCTCCGCACTGGGGGCCTCCAATGGGCATCAAATGCAGGTCATATAGCATACAGTGGTGGTGCAGGTGCAGGCAAAGGATAGAAAGGGCTTGTGATGCGAAAAAAGGTTCACGAGATGGAGAAGGCTTGTGAGGAGGTGCGGAAAGCAAGAATGTTTCACCAGGATGGGAGGACGGATAATAATAATTACGATAAAAATCAAAAGGAGCAACAATAACAACAGTGGTATGTTGGTGTTGATTTTGAGATTTCTCAAAAGTAACACCAACAGGTATGAAACGTTGGCATGCATGAGAAGCATTCTTATTGACTCACCGCAACTTTGTCGTAAGTACTGCTGGTGAGAAATCGAGGCACGGAGAAACTAGAATGGCATCTGAGTCGACTCAAAAGTCATCCGGTTACGATGTCACACGGTATTCCAAGCAACTCACCGCAACTTTGTCGTAATTGCTGTTGATCAGGAAGAGAGGCGTGGAGATGAATTGCAGCAGTTGCCTGGGCATGAAACACTGAAGGGCCACCAGGGCGAAGTGAGGAGGGAGAAAGAGGGAGGGCTTTTGAGGCGGCTCAACAGACGAATTGCAGCAGCTGCTTAGGCATCAAACACTGTCAGGAGTGAAGCAGGAGAAAGAGGGAGGGCCCGGTGAACAGCGGTGCAGAGGGTTGAAGAGTGTAGACGAGTAAGGGGCGGGCGGAAGGAGAGGGATTAAGCGAGTAGGAATGGGAGTCGGTACGTGCGGTTAACGTTCTGTTTTTTTAAAGTGGCTTGCATCGACGGCTGGAAGAGGCGACGTGGCATGGTTGAGAGGTGACGTGGCATGCTGTAAGAGGTGAAGTGGCATGCTGTAAGAGGTGACGTGGCATTGTAGAAGAGAAGCAGCAGCGCAACACACCTCGTGATGCTTCTCTGGCTCTCGCTCAGCAATGCATGCTGCCGGGAGACTGTCGGTGAGATTCTGGTGGCAGGAGGAAGATGCGGAGAGACAAGGAAGGAGAGAAATGGAAGGGGAGAAAAGGAAGGGAAGAAAAGGGGGATCCTTGGAAATCGCTTTCTTGCGGAATGCAATGCAAGTAAGGCAAATAGAGACAAGAGAGTGGGAAGTGAGAGGGGCACGATCCTCTGGCAAATTATTCTTCATATATGCCAATGCAAGTGAAGCGAACAGAGCTTGATGGGCAGCTTCTGCACCTTTTAGGCGCCTAAAAAACAGAGCTTGATGGGCTGCTTCTGCATGAGAGAGTGGCAATGAAACAAACGTGACCGGGGAGAGACGAGGAGAGGCGGGGAGAGGCGGGGAGAGGCGGGGAGAGGCGGGGAGAGGCGGGGAGAGGCGAGGAGAGGCGGGGAGAGGCGAGGAGAGGCGAGGAGAGGCGAGGAGAGGCGAGAAGAGTCCGAGATGGCATGATGGCATGTAGCGCTCACATGCATGTCCTTGACTTCAATAAAGAAACTCTCCACCTTCTTGGTGTTGTTGATGTCTGCACTGCATGAAGGACAGGGATGGGATACGGGAAAGAAATAGGGGCGGAAGAATTTGTCCCCACTTGAATGAGGAAACTCTCCACCTTCTTGGTGCTGTTGGTGTGTGCACTGCACGCAGAGAAGTCAGAGGGACGCGGAGAGAAGGGGTTGAAAGAGAGCGAGATAGGGGAGCGACCACCGGAGATACGGAGAGTCGGAGAGGAGTGAAGGCAAGTCATTTCACATGGTAAAAAGGAGTGAAGAGGAGTGACGAGGAGTGACGAGGAGTGACGAGGAGTGACGACGGGTGAAGAGGAGTCTTACACGTTGAGGAACATGGAGGAATCAGCGAGGCAGCGCACTCCCACGGAGGGAGAGAGGGCTTTAAGAGTGTCTTTAATCCCATCGCAGTGCACCAGCAGAGCCACCGCTCCCGCTGAACACCCTGACACAAGCACCTGGTCAGGTGAAAGCAACAGAAGGCAGCAGAGATTCATGGAACGTCCAGGCAAGACAGGCTCACTAACCCTGCGCCAAGCAAGCGAAGGATATCCGAAGCCCCATCACCCTTCCCCCTCTCACCCTCCCCACCTCTCACCCCCTCAACCCGCTCTCACCCTCCCTTCCTCTCCCCAGTCTCACCCCACATTCCCTTCCCTATCCTCTCGCTCACCCCCCACCCTCTCGCCCTCCCCCACCTCCCCTCGGTCGAGCCCCATCTTATTCAGAAGGAGCTTCAGTAGCACGTCCGCGATTCTCCTTCCCCTCACTCTCCCTCCTTTTCCTCCCCATCCTCTCGCTCACCTCACCCACTTGCTCACTCTCCCCGCTCTCTCCCCCCCTCTTCCCCCCCCTCACCGTGTCCGCTCGGTCGAGCCCCATCTTATTCAAAAGGCGCTTCAGTAGCACGTCCGCGATTCTCCTTCCCTTCATGTACAGTGTCGTTCCCTGGGGGGGGGGGGGATAAAACGGAGGGAGGGGAATATCAATAGGAAGAAGAAACACAATGGCGGAAAGACGAGAGGCGGAGAGAACGAGAGAAAGAGAGAAGGAGAGGCAGAGAGGCAGACAGGCGGACAGGCGGACAGGCAGAGAGGTCGGAGAGGTGGAGAGGCGGGAGGAGAGGCATACAAGTGGAGAGGCGGAGGGTGAGCTCAGCTCAGTTGACTTTTGAGTCGACTCAAAAGTCAACTGGCTACAAGTGGAGAGGCGGAGGGTGAGCTCAGCTCAGTTGACTTTTGAGTCGACTCAAAAGTCAACTCGCTACAAGTGGAGAGGCGGAGGGTGAGCTCAGCTCAGTTGACTTTTGAGTCGACTCAAAGTCAACTCGCTACAAGTGGAGAGGCGGAGGGTGAGCTCAGCTCAGTTGACTTTTGAGTCGACTCAAAAGTCAACTCGCTACAAGAGGAGAGGCGGAGAGTGAGCTCAGCTCGGAGCTCACATTGAAGTGAACGGGCTCGTCGACGTCGCCTGAGAAGGAGCCGCCGTCGCAGTAAATGAGGTAGACGGCGTTCCAGTTGTACAAGTCTGGAGAGAGGGAGGCACAGGGAGGCATGGGGAGGCATGGGGAGGCATGGGGAGGCATGGGGCGGCACAGGGAGGAGGGTGGGGGTTGAGTGCAAGGCTTTCGAGGCGCCTTAGACGAACCATCGCAGTAAACGAGGTAAACGGCGTTCCAATGGTAGAAGTCTGGTGAGAGGGAGGCACGGGGAGGAGGGTGGGGTTTGGGGGCTTCTGAGGCACCATCAACCTGGCATCGACGGGTTTCCAGTTGTGGAAGTCTGGTGGGCGGGAGGAGTGTGGAGGCATGGGAAGGCGTGGGGAGGCATGGGAAGGCGTGGGGAGGCATGGGGAGGCGTGGGGAGGCATGGGAAGGCGTGGGGAGGCATGGGAAGGCGTGGGGAGGCATGGGAAGGCGTGGGGAGGCATGGGAATGCGTGGGGAGGCATGGGAAGGCGTGGGGAGGCATGGGAAGGCGTGGGGAGGCATGGGAAGGAGTGGGGAGGCATGGGAAGGCGTGGGGAGGCATGGGAAGGCGTGGGGAGGCATGGGAAGGAGTGGGGAGGCATGGGAAGGCGTGGGGAGGCATGGGAAGGCGTGGGGAGGCATGGGAAGGAGTGGGGAGGCATGGGAAGGAGTGGGGAGGCATGGGAAGGAGTGGGGAGGCATGGGAAGGCGTGGGGAGGCATGGGAAGGAGTGGGGAGGCATGGGAAGGCGTGGGGAGGCATGGGAAGGCGTGGGGAGGCATGGGAAGGCGTGGGGAGGCATGGGGAGGCGTGGGGAGGCATGGGAAGGCGTGGGGAGGCATGGGAAGGCGTGGGGAGGCATGGGAAGGCGTGGGGAGGCATGGGAAGGCGTGGGGAGGCATGGGAAGGCGTGGGGAGGCATGGGAAGGAGTGGGGAGGCATGGGAAGGAGTGGGGAGGCATGGGAAGGAGTGGGGAGGCATGGGAAGGCGTGGGGAGGCATGGGAAGGAGTGGGGAGGCATGGGAAGGCGTGGGGAGGCATGGGAAGGCGTGGGGAGGCATGGGGAGGCGTGGGGAGGCATGGGAAGGCGTGGGGAGGCATGGGAAGGCGTGGGGAGGCATGGGAAGGCGTGGGGAGGCATGGGAAGGCGTGGGGAGGCATGGGAAGGCGTGGGGAGGCATGGGAAGGCGTGGGGAGGCATGGGAAGGAGTGGGGAGGCATGGGAAGGCGTGGGGAGGCATGGGAAGGCGTGGGGAGGCATGGGAAGGCGTGGGGAGGCATGGGGAGGCGTGGGGAGGCATGGGAAGGCGTGGGGAGGCATGGGAAGGCGTGGGGAGGCATGGGAAGGCGTGGGGAGGCATGGAAAGGCGTGGGGAGGCATGGGAAGGCGTGGGGAGGCATGGGAAGGAGTGGGGAGGCATGGGAAGGCGTGGGGAGGCATGGGAAGGCGTGGGGAGGCATGGGGAGGCGTGGGGAGGCATGGGAAGGCGTGGGGAGGCATGGGAAGGCGTGGGGAGGCATGGGAAGGCGTGGGGAGGCATGGGAAGGCGTGGGGAGGCATGGGAAGGCGTGGGGAGGCATGGGAAGGAGTGGGGAGGCATGGGAAGGCGTGGGGAGGCATGGGAAGGCGTGGGGAGGCATGGGAAGGCGTGGGGAGGCATGGGAAGGCGTGGGGAGGCATGGGAAGGCGTGGGGAGGCATGGGAAGGCGTGGGGAGGCATGGGAAGGCGTGGGGAGGCATGGGAAGGAGTGGGGAGGCATGGGAAGGCGTGGGGAGGCATGGGAAGGCGTGGGGAGGCATGGGAAGGCGTGGGGAGGCATGGGGAGGCGTGGGGAGGCATGGGAAGGCGTGGGGAGGCATGGGAAGGCGTGGGGAGGCATGGGAAGGCGTGGGGAGGCATGGAAAGGCGTGGGGAGGCATGGGAAGGCGTGGGGAGGCATGGGAAGGAGTGGGGAGGCATGGGAAGGCGTGGGGAGGCATGGGAAGGCGTGGGGAGGCATGGGGAGGCGTGGGGAGGCATGGGAAGGCGTGGGGAGGCATGGGAAGGCGTGGGGAGGCATGGGAAGGCGTGGGGAGGCATGGGAAGGCGTGGGGAGGCATGGGAGTGGGGAGGCATGGGAAGGCGTGGGGAGGCATGGGAAGGCGTGGGGAGGCATGGGAAGGCGTGGGGAGGCATGGGAAGGCGTGGGGAGGCATGGGAAGGCGTGGGGAGGCATGGGAAGGCGTGGGGAGGCATGGGAAGGCGTGGGGAGGCATGGGAAGGCGTGGGGAGGCATGGGAAGGCGTGGGGAGGCATGGGAAGGCGTGGGGAGGCATGGGAAGGCGTGGGGAGGCATGGGAAGGCGTGGGGAGGCATGGGAAGGCGTGGGGAGGCATGGGAAGGCGTGGGGAGGCATGGGAAGGCGTGGGGAGGCATGGGAAGGCGTGGGGAGGCATGGGAAGGCGTGGGGAGGCATGGGAAGGCGTGGGGAGGCATGGGAAGGCGTGGGGAGGCATGGGAAGGCGTGGGGAGGCATGGGAAGGCGTGGGGAGGCATGGGAAGGCGTGGGGAGGCATGGGAAGGCGTGGGGAGGCATGGGAAGGCGTGGGGAGGCATGGGAAGGCGTGGGGAGGCATGGGAAGGCGTGGGGAGGCATGGGAAGGCGTGGGGAGGCATGGGAAGGCGTGGGGAGGCATGGGAAGGCGTGGGGAGGCATGGGAAGGCGTGGGGAGGCATGGGAAGGCGTGGGGAGGCATGGGAAGGCGTGGGGAGGCATGGGAAGGCGTGGGGAGGCATGGGAAGGCGTGGGGAGGCATGGGAAGGCGTGGGGAGGCATGGGAAGGCGTGGGGAGGCATGGGAAGGCGTGGGGAGGCATGGGAAGGCGTGGGGAGGCATGGGAAGGCGTGGGGAGGCATGGGAAGGCGTGGGGAGGCATGGGAAGGCGTGGGGAGGCATGGGAAGGCGTGGGGAGGCATGGGAAGGCGTGGGGAGGCATGGGAAGGCGTGGGGAGGCATGGGAAGGCGTGGGGAGGCATGGGAAGGCGTGGGGAGGCATGGGAAGGCGTGGGGAGGCATGGGAAGGCGTGGGGAGGCATGGGAAGGCGTGGGGAGGCATGGGAAGGCGTGGGGAGGCATGGGAAGGCGTGGGGAGGCATGGGAAGGCGTGGGGAGGCATGGGAAGGCGTGGGGAGGCATGGGAAGGCGTGGGGAGGCATGGGAAGGCGTGGGGAGGCATGGGAAGGCGTGGGGAGGCATGGGAAGGCGTGGGGAGGCATGGGAAGGCGTGGGGAGGCATGGGAAGGCGTGGGGAGGCATGGGAAGGCGTGGGGAGGCATGGGAAGGCGTGGGGAGGCATGGGAAGGCGTGGGGAGGCATGGGAAGGCGTGGGGAGGCATGGGAAGGCGTGGGGAGGCATGGGAAGGCGTGGGGAGGCATGGGAAGGCGTGGGGAGGCATGGGAAGGCGTGGGGAGGCATGGGAAGGCGTGGGGAGGCATGGGAAGGCGTGGGGAGGCATGGGAAGGCGTGGGGAGGCATGGGAAGGCGTGGGGAGGCATGGGAAGGCGTGGGGAGGCATGGGAAGGCGTGGGGAGGCATGGGAAGGCGTGGGGAGGCATGGGAAGGCGTGGGGAGGCATGGGAAGGCGTGGGGAGGCATGGGAAGGCGTGGGGAGGCATGGGAAGGCGTGGGGAGGCATGGGAAGGCGTGGGGAGGCATGGGAAGGCGTGGGGAGGCATGGGAAGGCGTGGGGAGGCATGGGAAGGCGTGGGGAGGCATGGGAAGGCGTGGGGAGGCATGGGAAGGCGTGGGGAGGCATGGGAAGGCGTGGGGAGGCATGGGAAGGCGTGGGGAGGCATGGGAAGGCGTGGGGAGGCATGGGAAGGCGTGGGGAGGCATGGGAAGGCGTGGGGAGGCATGGGAAGGCGTGGGGAGGCATGGGAAGGCGTGGGGAGGCATGGGAAGGCGTGGGGAGGCATGGGAAGGCGTGGGGAGGCATGGGAAGGCGTGGGGAGGCATGGGAAGGCGTGGGGAGGCATGGGAAGGCGTGGGGAGGCATGGGAAGGCGTGGGGAGGCATGGGAAGGCGTGGGGAGGCATGGGAAGGCGTGGGGAGGCATGGGAAGGCGTGGGGAGGCATGGGAAGGCGTGGGGAGGCATGGGAAGGCGTGGGGAGGCATGGGAAGGCGTGGGGAGGCATGGGAAGGCGTGGGGAGGCATGGGAAGGCGTGGGGAGGCATGGGAAGGCGTGGGGAGGCATGGGAAGGCGTGGGGAGGCATGGGAAGGCGTGGGGAGGCATGGGAAGGCGTGGGGAGGCATGGGAAGGCGTGGGGAGGCATGGGAAGGCGTGGGGAGGCATGGGAAGGCGTGGGGAGGCATGGGAAGGCGTGGGGAGGCATGGGAAGGCGTGGGGAGGCATGGGAAGGCGTGGGGAGGCATGGGAAGGCGTGGGGAGGCATGGGAAGGCGTGGGGAGGCATGGGAAGGCGTGGGGAGGCATGGGAAGGCGTGGGGAGGCATGGGAAGGCGTGGGGAGGCATGGGAAGGCGTGGGGAGGCATGGGAAGGCGTGGGGAGGCATGGGAAGGCGTGGGGAGGCATGGGAAGGCGTGGGGAGGCATGGGAAGGCGTGGGGAGGCATGGGAAGGCGTGGGGAGGCATGGGAAGGCGTGGGGAGGCATGGGAAGGCGTGGGGAGGCATGGGAAGGCGTGGGGAGGCATGGGAAGGCGTGGGGAGGCATGGGAAGGCGTGGGGAGGCATGGGAAGGCGTGGGGAGGCATGGGAAGGCGTGGGGAGGCATGGGAAGGCGTGGGGAGGCATGGGAAGGCGTGGGGAGGCATGGGAAGGCGTGGGGAGGCATGGGAAGGCGTGGGGAGGCATGGGAAGGCGTGGGGAGGCATGGGAAGGCGTGGGGAGGCATGGGAAGGCGTGGGGAGGCATGGGAAGGCGTGGGGAGGCATGGGAAGGCGTGGGGAGGCATGGGAAGGCGTGGGGAGGCATGGGAAGGCGTGGGGAGGCATGGGAAGGCGTGGGGAGGCATGGGAAGGCGTGGGGAGGCATGGGAAGGCGTGGGGAGGCATGGGAAGGCGTGGGGAGGCATGGGAAGGCGTGGGGAGGCATGGGAAGGCGTGGGGAGGCATGGGAAGGCGTGGGGAGGCATGGGAAGGCGTGGGGAGGCATGGGAAGGCGTGGGGAGGCATGGGAAGGCGTGGGGAGGCATGGGAAGGCGTGGGGAGGCATGGGAAGGCGTGGGGAGGCATGGGAAGGCGTGGGGAGGCATGGGAAGGCGTGGGGAGGCATGGGAAGGCGTGGGGAGGCATGGGAAGGCGTGGGGAGGCATGGGAAGGCGTGGGGAGGCATGGGAAGGCGTGGGGAGGCATGGGAAGGCGTGGGGAGGCATGGGAAGGCGTGGGGAGGCATGGGAAGGCGTGGGGAGGCATGGGAAGGCGTGGGGAGGCATGGGAAGGCGTGGGGAGGCATGGGAAGGCGTGGGGAGGCATGGAAGGCGTGGGGAGGCATGGGAAGGCGTGGGGAGGCATGGGAAGGCGTGGGGAGGCATGGGAAGGCGTGGGGAGGCATGGGAAGGCGTGGGGAGGCATGGGAAGGCGTGGGGAGGCATGGGAAGGCGTGGGGAGGCATGGGAAGGCGTGGGGAGGCATGGGAAGGCGTGGGGAGGCATGGGAAGGCGTGGGGAGGCATGGGAGGCATGGGAAGGCGTGGGGAGGCATGGGAAGGCGTGGGGAGGCATGGGAAGGCGTGGGGAGGCATGGGAAGGCGTGGGGAGGCATGGGAAGGCGTGGGGAGGCATGGGAAGGCGTGGGGAGGCATGGGAAGGCGTGGGGAGGCATGGGAAGGCGTGGGGAGGCATGGGAAGGCGTGGGGAGGCATGGGAAGGCGTGGGGAGGCATGGGAAGGCGTGGGGAGGCATGGGAAGGCGTGGGGAGGCATGGGAAGGCGTGGGGAGGCATGGGAAGGCGTGGGGAGGCATGGGAAGGCGTGGGGAGGCATGGGAAGGCGTGGGGAGGCATGGGAAGGCGTGGGGAGGCATGGGAAGGCGTGGGGAGGCATGGGAAGGCGTGGGGAGGCATGGGAAGGCGTGGGGAGGCATGGGAAGGCGTGGGGAGGCATGGGAAGGCGTGGGGAGGCATGGGAAGGCGTGGGGAGGCATGGGAAGGCGTGGGGAGGCATGGGAAGGCGTGGGGAGGCATGGGAAGGCGTGGGGAGGCATGGGAAGGCGTGGGGAGGCATGGGAAGGCGTGGGGAGGCATGGGAAGGCGTGGGGAGGCATGGGAAGGCGTGGGGAGGCATGGGAAGGCGTGGGGAGGCATGGGAAGGCGTGGGGAGGCATGGGAAGGCGTGGGGAGGCATGGGAAGGCGTGGGAGGCATGGGAAGGCGTGGGGAGGCATGGGAAGGCGTGGGGAGGCATGGGAAGGCGTGGGGAGGCATGGGAAGGCGTGGGGAGGCATGGGAAGGCGTGGGGAGGCATGGGAAGGCGTGGGGAGGCATGGGAAGGCGTGGGGAGGCATGGGAAGGCGTGGGGAGGCATGGGAAGGCGTGGGGAGGCATGGAAGGCGTGGGGAGGCATGGGAAGGCGTGGGGAGGCATGGGAAGGCGTGGGGAGCATGGGAAGGCGTGGGGAGGCATGGGAAGGCGTGGGAGGCATGGGAATGGCGTGGGGAGGCATGGGAAGGCGTGGGGAGGCATGGGAAGGCGTGGGGAGGCATGGGAAGGCGTGGGGAGGCATGGGAAGGCGTGGGGAGGCATGGGAAGGCGTGGGGAGGCATGGGAAGGCGTGGGGAGGCATGGGAAGGCGTGGGGAGGCATGGGAAGGCGTGGGGAGGCATGGGAAGGCGTGGGGAGGCATGGGAAGGCGTGGGGAGGCATGGGAAGGCGTGGGGAGGCATGGGAAGGCGTGGGGAGGCATGGGAAGGCGTGGGGAGGCATGGGAAGGCGTGGGGAGGCATGGGAAGGCGTGGGGAGGCATGGGAAGGCGTGGGGAGGCATGGGAAGGCGTGGGGAGGCATGGGAAGGCGTGGGGAGGCATGGGAAGGCGTGGGGAGGCATGGGAAGGCGTGGGAGGCATGGGAAGGCGTGGGGAGGCATGGGAAGGCGTGGGGAGGCATGGGAAGGCGTGGGGAGGCATGGGAAGGCGTGGGGAGGCATGGGAAGGCGTGGGGAGGCATGGGAAGGCGTGGGGAGACGAGACATGGGAGGAAGCAGCGCACAAGGCAAAGGCCCCACCCGGATTCACTGCGCAGGAAGCTTCCCGCGATGCGGGTTCACCACTGCAGCAGCCACAGGCAGCCTCACCCGGGTTAACGGTGCGGTTGGGGCTGAGCATGCCGTTCATGCTGCCGTTCTTGTTGTCGCTGCGCGCCGCCTCCATCTCCGCCGCGGACGGCCGCAGGTCCGTCGACCCCAGGCGCGACCCCGCCCGCCGCGCGCAGCTCTCGGGGGACGCGCACCATGCGCCGCCCTGGCGCATCACAGGGGGAAGGGGAAGTCGATGGAAAAGGGAAGCAGAGGGGGATGGGGAGGGGAAGGGAGCGAGTGGAGGTGAGATGGGAAGCGGTTTACACACGAGGGAGCAAGGAGGGTAAACGAGTGAAAACGAGGCCGCCTCGAATGGAGAGAACGGGCTACAAAAGAATGTAGCAAATCGGGTACTAGCCAATAGGGAAGGCGAGTCATTCGTCTTAATCACACCTCGAAATACAGAACCCAGTTATTGCGTCCTGAGCCGTATCCCTTCCGATAGTAGAACCCAGGGGCCGATCCGTCCAAGCACACGGCGCCCTCCGCGCGCCCTTCCTCCGCAATAATCAGCTGCAGCGCCGGAATCTGCGCCTCCTCCGCCGCATCGCCACTGGCGGAAGAAGGCGCGGAATCCTTCACTACAAGCGCGGCTTCCCCCTCCGCGGAAGCATGGGGGGTATCCTTCACGAGCTCCGCCAGCGCGGCATTGTTCCCGCTTCCGCCCGCGACCAGCTTGCGGGAGCCCGCCGCCGCATTCCCCCCGGATCCGCCGCGCACCCCGCCAGCCGCGGCAAGTAGCAGGACTACGAGAACCGCCGCGGGCGGCGCTAGCCGGGAGCCGCGGAGAGCCGACATCATGTCAGGCGCGCGGAACTCGTTAGTCGGCGGAAGAGGAGGCGAGGGGAGGCGGAAATCTCTCTAGGGTCACCCTTAGGTAGTAGTGGTGCGCAATAAGGCCCTTCTTGTAGGCTGCGCTACCTGGAAAATATACCCTCAGCAGCAGAAGCAGCAGCAGCAGCAGCAGCAGCAGCAGCAGCAGCAGCAGCAGCAGCAGCAGCAGCAGCAGCAGCAGCAGCAGCAGCAGCAGCAGCAGCAGCAGCAGCAGCAGCAGCAGCAGCAGCAGCAGCAGCAGAACAGCAGCACTTCTGTTGTTTCAGCAGCAGGAGCGGAACGAGGTGCTTGCGGATGCGCGAGGTCCCTCGAAGGCAGGCCATGACACAGCAATATGCCATCGATGATCGCCAACCTCCGCTCGCACAACTGCTCTCCCCACCTCCGCCCGCAGCGCTCGCGGAAATCGCGATCGGCGCAGGCGGACGGCGCAGCAGAGGCGGTCAGGAATCGGTGGCCAGGAATGAGGGGTGATCGTCGATCACCCGGCGGGGCAGGAAGAGGGCCGTCAAAGAGCCGGCAAGTCACTCAGGAATCATAGGCTGGCTCGTGCAGCGGAGTAGGCACTCCCAGATTCGCGGATTCGCGCCAGATGGCAGAACGGACGATCGTTCATGGATTACGCCGATATTGATCAATCGACCTCCCCCCCACCTACCTCCCCCCCTCTTCCCCCTCCCCCACCCACCCCTCCTCTTCCCCCCCCTTCCCCCAAGTACCCTCCCGTGACATACGGTACTGTATTCCTCCCCCCGTTTTCCTCCGCTTTCTTCCGGGTCGTCCTTTCTTCGCCCCTCCCCCTGCCCTCCCTCTCTCCCTCCAAATTGGATTGAGACATGATTTGATGCGATGAGCATCGAAATCTTCCTTCCCATCACATGCGACGCGACGCCAGATCAGAGACGGCTGCCTTTGGGGTTTCGCCTCTGCGGTTCTCGTTGGCTTTGGTTGGTCCCGTTTCAGCCAAAGCAGGCCTCTCCTTGGGAAGAGCGGCTCAAAATGAAATGCGAGCTCTGGTTTCGGCAGCATGATAAGGCGGTGGGGAAGTCTGTCGTCACGCGTCCTACTACTATTCACTCGCTACGGAAACTAGCACAACTCTCTCAGGTTTTACTATGCGGGTGGTTGCTACAACGGAACTCTCTCAGGTGCTCTTGTCTTGATAAGCCGGCGCACTACACTCCACATCTGGACCGTATTTTGAAAACAAACAATTCGGTTATTAATGAAGGCACGATTTCAACGTAGCGACTTTCACTAAGCGTAGACACCGAAGTACACCCTCTTTCTCACCTATCTCACCGGCGGAAAGCACTGGCTACAGTGTTTGGACGTAGCGGGCTGGTGAGATAACTCGGTTGCGGGCAAAGTCGCACGAGGGTTTGAAACACGCCTTGGGCCGTAAAAAACCATTAACGTTGAATAACCATCCCAAACGCTTTGAAAATAACAGTACCGTTCTAGAACGTAAAAAACCTTGACTAAACGCCCTGGGTCAAATTGTCACTAAAACGCATGTGATAGGACCTTCTTGGGTCCGGTGTGGTCACACTAAGCGTCTGAGTCAGTATAACATATGCCAGTCTATCGAGAATGAGGGTGTACACCTACAGCCATACGTGAAGCCCGAAACCTTTTGCCTATACTGTGGAACTACCCGCGTCCGGCCTGCTTTCGCGCCTGACTTTCTGGTGTACAGTAGAAGATTAGGACTCGTGCAGAAATATACAGTGCAGAAAAGAAGGCTGGATGGAACAGAGATGGGGTGCACTGTGCACGCACACACTCCAATCCAACCCAAACACCCGGCCAACACCCAAACGATCCGAACCACACAACATATGCGATAGGCACCTCAGCTGGTTCAATACGGCCCGCATAATTATAGTAGGGCACTTCACGTACAGTAACATGGAAGTCCAGGTGGCGAAACATTTGAGGATGTGGGTGTGTAAGAACGAACCACACAACATATGCGATAGGCAGCTCAGCTGGTTCAATACGGCCCGCACAATTTTTGTTTTCATGTGAATATGTCCACTATACACCGGTGATACAAGTGTATATAAACATAAGTCAGTCGTAACTGTGCGTGAAAGGCCGAAAGACAGTAACGACCTCAGGGTCAGCTTCTAAGGCGGGTGTAAAGCCCCCCTCGCAAGATTCCACAGTGCGCCGAAGTTACGAGTCCACTTCCAACCCTTCACCGCCGAGCACCGAATACGGCCAAGAATGACATCCTCCTGCCCTGCCAGCGCATAAGCCTTCCTTTGTCGCTTCGAACCGCCGCCTTTGTCCAGCTTCTTCCCCATTGCCCGAGTATACACCTTCACATGCAGCCGAAAAGCTGCCTCAATACGCCTGAGGACGTGCCGAGCCCTGGACCTCCTTCCCCGAAACACGCACTCGCATCTATCCGCCCATATCTGGTGCACCGCGATGGCAGAAAGAGATGCTTCCGGAAGAGCTGAGGTGGACGCTGCCTTCCCGAACAGAAGGTCCCCCAAATCAGCCACTTGCCTTGATGGGTTCAGAATGCGCATGGCACGCCTGACTACCACCACCACCAGTTGAATGCGCGGGCAGGTGAAAAGACAGTGTTCCAAAGTTTCGAGCTCCCCGCAGTGCGGACAGACCGGCTTGCCACTTAAAAATGAGAGTCTTTACCCCACTTGCAGGTTAAGACTGTGGATTCTTAACAGCACGTCCCACGACCTGTTTGGTATCACGAGGGAGTCCCGGATTTTAATCACCCTCTTCCAGTCGATTTCCCCTGCCCACCTGCCTGCCCAGAGTTCCCTCTTGGCTGATTGATGCTTCTTCCGATCCCCGCTCCCCTTCAACTCTCTCAGCGATGCCAACTGCCCGCTACTGAACAGCGGGGTTCTCTGGAGAGGGGTGCGAAGTGGTGGCCGAGGCAACTGCATGAGCTCGGCAGACAGAAGCAGCTCTTTCCAGCTCTGCGGCACTGCCTCCCAGGCCCGTAGTGCCAATTTTGCCTGCTTCGAGCCACCCAGCTCCCTTGCTAAGGTTTTCACGTCTTTGACCCTGCGACCTCCCGCGCCCTCCGGGGCCAGCAGATCCTTCAGACGAACCTCCCACAGCTTCGCTGCGGCCTTCTGCCCTCCCAGCGGGGTCTTGCCGTTGAGCAAGATATGGCGGTTAAAAACTAGCCGCTCCACCTCATCTTCATCCCTCGTTCGTTCCAGCGGCGTTTCTGCAAGCGGCGATTGCACGAAATCCCCGCAGGCCAGCCTCCACCTCTCACTTTTCCCGCGCCAGCATTTCAAGAGCTCCACGTGAGCTACAAAGGTGTCCGTCCCCAGCGGCAGATCCGCCGCTTGAAACATTATGTCCCGCTTCAGCTCGTTGGACTCGGTGAGAAGCAGACCCCCACGCCCCCGTCCTCTCTCGCCATGTACAGCAGCTCACGGCTCCACAGAATGAACCCCTTGTCCGTGGTGGCCCGGTTGCCGGACATAAAATTATGTTAACTTTAGAATCCTCCCCCAGATGTCCACCGGCGGCGGGTACACTTGCGCCTGAAAAACGATGATCGGGGAGATGTAGCAGCTAATCACCGCTGCTCTTGCCCCCGTTGTGAGATGCTGTGCCTCCCACTGCCTCAGTTTTTCCTTTATCTGCGCAAAGGCTTTTTCTCAGGTGGGAGCGCAACACCCGGCCGGCGTCACCCACACTCCCAGAAGTCTCTCGGCTTCGTTCGCCTTCACCCATTTGAAGCCGTCGGTTCTGCAGGCCTGCTTGTCCAGGTTTTTCCCCAGCGGTAAGATGGATGACTTCCCCTTATTTGTAGCTAAGCCTGAGTCTGCTTCGAAGTCCTCTAACAGCTTCTCCGCTTCTGCAATTTGCTCCTCCTCTTGCAGGAACAGTGTTGTATCATCCGCGTAACCCATTTACGCCAAGCGCTGATCTCCCCCCGTGAGGCCCAGCTTCCGGTTTGCAGTTTCTTGCGCCAACGGCTCAACCGCACACATGAAGAGGTACGGCGCCAGCGGGCAGACCTGACGCACCCCCGATGCCACTTCCACCGCATCTCCCATCCAGCAGTTTATTCATAGGCTTGTTCGTGTATCCTTGTGCAGGCCGCGCACCCAGCCTATGAAACGGATGGGGAAACCCATCCTTTCCAGCACCGTGAACAGGAAGCCCCTCGAGACCGAGTCAAAGGCCTTCCTGAAGTCCACCAACAGAAGATACCAATCCTTGTCCTTGTTTTTAACCGCCTCGATAACGTCCGCGACCAGACCCACCGCATCCGACAGCCTTCGACCCGGTAAGAAACCATACTGCTCCGGGGAAATCACCTCATGCAGCACTTTCTTCATCCGGTCCGCAACCACCCGCGCCAGCACCTTGTAGGTAAAACTCAGCAGCGTGATCGACCGATAGTTCTCTAACTGGTCCCGCCCCCCCTTCTTGTGTAACAGGATTGTGACGGCGTCCTTCGTGTTGGTTGGGAGTGATGCTGAGGCGGCGAAACCCTCCACCCGCTTCATGAAGTGCTTCCCCAGGACATCCTAGTGCATTTCAAAAAGTTCCTTCGGCAGCCCATCCTTCCCCAGGGACTTATCCTTTGCCATCGAACGGAAGGCGCGCTTCACCTCCTTCTCCGTCCAGTCCGCGGACACACATTCTGCCGACGCTTGTGACAGTCTCCTCCCGTCAGCTGGAAGCCAAGCAGTCTCAGTCCGCCGCCTGTCCATCCCAAAGAGTTCCCTGTAGTACTGCGATGCCGCGCCTAAAATTTCCTTGTTGTCGGCAACCATCCTTCCTCCGACGTCTAACTCTGAGATGTGCGTGCGTTCCTTCCGAGCTTTGATCTTTGTAGACAGGAACGGAGATGCGACTTCACCCAAGACCTCTTCTTTCATCCCTGCCATCACGTGCAGTCGCTCCTGCCGCACCAGCTGGTCGCCTTTAAGCTGCGACTCTCTTTCATCCAGCAGTCCTTTCAGACGAGCACCGCCTGGGTCACCCATCCACGACGGCTTCAGAGCCGCAACTTTGCGCTGAAGGTGAGCCATGGTAGCCCCCACTCTCTTCCGCTCCTCCTTCGCATAAGCTCTAAGGCCCGCGTTTAGCCACGAAATTAGCAGCTCGATTTCATCACCGCGTGTAACCGCCTGACGTTCAACTGCTTCAATGACCCTCCTAACCCCCGGTCTCTCAACTATGTATGCAGGAAGCCGCCAAAGACCGGGACCCAACTGCACCCGCGTGATCATCATGAACGCCGCCTTTACTGCAAAACTGTGATCAGAGATGGGGTCAGCCGGCATGATGTGTGAGACGAACTCAACATGCGACAGCAACGACTGCGAGATGAGTGCCTTGTCGATGCGGGAGCTGGACTGGTTAGCACAGGAGTAGAAGGTAAATTCTCTTTTGAAGGGGTGCAGAACCCTGAAGGCGTCCGACAGATGGAAAGCTCCGCACCGCTGGTAAAGCTCTTTCTTTTCCTTCACCGATCCCTTTTTCGACGTTCTGTCAAGCAGGGGGTCCTCCACCAGGTTGAAATCACCTAACACGAGCAGGTGAGCGCCAGGCTGTAGTGAGTCAATCACCGGGCCCAGCACCCTACGAATGAAGCACTTCCGCTCGGCAACATCCGCCGGGAAGTAGACAGCGACTAAGGTGATACGGAAGGTGATACGGAAGGTATCGCAGGGTGTGAATTCGTAGGGTGTGAATTCGCAGGGGGTGTGAATTCGCAGGGTGTGAATTCGCAGGGTGTGTGAATTCGCTGGGTGTGAATTCGCAGGGTGTGAATTCGCAGGGTGTGTGAATTCGCACGGTGTGGGAATTTGCAGGGCTTGAATTCGCAGGGTGTGAATTTGCAGGATGTGGATTTGCAGGGTGTATATTCGCAGGGTGTGAATTCGCTGAGGGTGTGAATTCGCTGAGGGTGTGAATTCGCACGGGGTGTGGATTCGCAGGGGGTGTGAATTCGCAGGGTATAAATTCGCAGGGTGTGAATTCGCATGGTGTAGATTCGCAACGGGGTGTGAATTTGCAGGGGGTGTGAATTCGCGGGGGGTGTGAATCCGCAGGGAGTGAATTCGCAGGGTGTGAATTCGCATGCTGTGTAGTTTCGCTGGGTGTGAATTCGCAGGGTGTGAATTCGCAGGGTGTCAATTTGCAGGGGGTGTGAATTCGCAGGGTGTAAATTTGCAGTGCAGGGTGTAAATTCGCAGGGTGTGTGAATTCGCACGGTGTGGGAATTTGCAGGGTGTGAATTCCCACGGAATTCGCAGGGTGTGAATTTGCAGGGCGTGAATTCGTAGGGGGTGAATTCATAGGGGGTGTGAATTTGCAGGGGGTGTGAATTCGTAAGGGGTGTAAATTCGCAGGGGGTGTGAATTTGGGGGGGGGTTGAATTCGCAGGGGGTGTGAATTCGCAGGGGGTGCGAATTCGGAAGGTGTGAATTCGCAGGGTGTGTAAATTCGCAAGGTCTGAATTTCCCGGGTGTGAATTTGCAGGGTGTGAATTCGCGGGGTGTGAATTCACAGGGGGTGTGAATTCGCAGGGTGTGAACTCGCAGGGTGTGAATTTGCAGGGCATGAATTTGCAGGAGGCGTGAATCCGCTGGGGACACGAATTTGCAGGGGGTGTGAATTTGTAGGGGGTGTGAATTTCGCAGACTGTGAATTCGCAGGGGGGAATTCGCAGGGTGTGAATTTGCAGGGGGTGAATTCGCAGGGTGTGAGTTTGCAGGGTGTGAATCCGCATAGTGTGAATTCGTAGGGTGTGATTTCGCAGGGTGTGAATTCGCAAGGTGTGAATTCGCAGGGTGTGCATTGGCATGGTGTGAATTCACAGGGTGTGAATTCGTAGGGTGTAAATTCGCAGGGTGTGAATTCGCAGGGCGTGAACTCGCAGGGTGTGAATTCGCGGGGTGTGAATTTGCAGGGTGTGAATTCGCAAGGTGTGTAAATTTGCAGGGTGTGTAATTTCGCAGGATGTTAATTCGCATGGTGTGAATTCGCAGGGTGTGAATTCGCAGGGTGTGTGAATTTGCACGGTGTGGGAATTCGCAGGGTGTGAATTCACACGGGGTTCGCAGGGTGTGAATTTGCAGGGTGTGAATTCGCAGGGGGTAAATTCACAGGGGCTGTGAATTTGCAGGGGGTGTGAATTCGTAAGGGGTGTGAATTTACAGAGGGTGTGAATTTGGGGAGGTTGTAAATTTGCAGGGGGTGAATTCGCACAGTTTTAATTTGCAGGGTGTGGATTTGCAGGGTGTGGATTCGCAGTGTGTGGATTCGCAAGGGGTGTGAATTCGCATGGGGTGTGAATTCGCAGGGGGGTTATAATTGGCAGGGTGTGAATCGGTAGGGTGTGAATTTGCAGGGGGTGCAAATTCGCAGGGTGTGAATTCGCAGGGTGTGAATTCGCTGGGTGTGAATTCGCATGGTGTGAATTTGCAGGGGGTGTGAATTTGCAGGGTGTGTAGATTCGCTGGGTGTTAAATTCGCAGGGTATGAATTCGCATGGAATTTGCAGGGTGTGAATCTGCAGGGTGTGAATCTGCAGGGTGTGAATTCGAAGGGGGTAAATTCACAGGGGGTGTGAATTTGCAGGGGGTGTCAATTCGTAGGGGGTGTGAATTTGCAGGGGGTGTGAATTCGCAGGGGGTATGAATTCACAGGGCGTGAATTCGTAGGGGGCGTGAATTCGCAGGGGGCGCAAATCCGCAAGGGGCGTGAATACGCAGGGGGGGTGAATTTGCAGGGGGTGTGAATTCGCAGGGTGTGAATTTGCAGGGTGTGAATTCGCAGGGGGTGTGAATTTGCAGGGGGTGAATTCGCAGGGTGTGAATTTGCAGGGTGTGATTTCGCAGGGGGTGTCTATTCGCAGGGGGTTTGAATTCGTAGGGGGTGTGGATTCGTAGGTGTGAATTCGCAGGGTGTGAATTCGCAGGGGTTGTGAATGCAGGGGGTTTGAATTCGCAGGGGGTGTGAATTCGCAGGGTGTGAATTCGCAGGGTGTATAAATTCGCATTGTGCGAATTCGCAGGGTGTGAATTCGCAGGGTGTGATTTTGCAGGGTGGGATTGCATTGCATCAGACAACTTTAAAGCAGTCATCTGAAACAACGACGGACCAAGGGAGCTAGCCGGTGGGGCCCAGTCGGGAGCTGGGCCAACACCGAACTGCGCGTGAAGGCAGTCCGTGAGCTACGCAAAGCACTGACGAGGAGGGTGAAAGCGTCCACAGGGCTGACCCGTATGTCTCCCAAACTGAACAAGGTACGTATAGAGAGTAGGGGGGGTACCACGAGACACCCATATGGGCCGGCCACCGCCACTCCCAGCGCTCCCTGGTCCACGAGGTCCCCACTGCTGGAACTGCTGCTGCACCTGCCGCTGAACCTGCTGCTGCGGCGGTCCTTGCTGTTGCTGCTATCCTTGCTGTGGCTGCTGTGGCTGTGGCTGCTGCTGCTGGGCCTACCACTGCTGCTGCGTACCAGCCAGCTGGTCCAGCACCCCCTCCCGTCGGGCCCGCAGGCCCAGGACCACCTCCAGTGCCGCCTACACCACACGCACTAGACGCCACCCCCTCCACCACCACCAGCGCCACCACCCTTGCCCCTGGGCCGCCCACCCGTAGTGGACACGGCGGCAGTCTCGTCAGAAGCAGGAGACGCAGTACAGGAAAGAGAAGCAGTGAAGGTGGGGAGCTGTGGGACAGTGCACCCCTAAAAGAGGGGCGGAATTACGGCACCAGAAGCGGAGGCAACGGAGCGGAGGCTGCTCTTGATGTCCTTGAGAGCTGCTTCATGGACGTCGATAGTGAGCGCACTAGGGTGCTTCCGAAGAAGCGCGTTGCGTACAGGTGCAAGGCGGTCAGGGAGGCTAGTGATGATGAAGTGAATAGTGATCGCCATGGGCGGAGGAAGCAGTGCAAGCTTAGCCTCAGTACAAGCAGCATGGTAGCTGGTGTTGAGCGAGCGCAAGTGGGTGACACGTTCAGCAATATGGTCAAACACTCCTAGGTCGGGAAATAGGAAGTGCATGAAGAGACGACCAAGCGAGGCGGAGGAGGGAGTGGAGTACCGGGTCTTAATGGCAGCAAAACACTCCTGGGCAGATCGAACCTGGCTGAAGTGTGAGGAGGCAGCGTCACGAGACTGCCACACTGACAGGGCTGTACGGGCCTGAGTAAAGCGCTCCTTGTCTGAGTCAGTAGGCTCAGGAGGCAAGTCTGCAGGGCGCGGAGGTGAGGGCAGGTCACCAGAGACGTGCGCCCATAACGTGTCGCCATCCTGGCGCTGGCTCTGTAGGTAGAGCTCGGTGCGGAGGATCCAGATGGGGAACTCTAGTGCCCTACCCTCCGCGTCGAAACGTAGGGGTCGAGGGGTCGCCATGTCCAGGGCCCGACCGGACTAGGAGCGAAAGGCTAGGAACGAACGGAGCTTGAGACGAACAAATCCGGAAGGGCTAGTCTAGGAAAAAGCCGGAGCGAGTAGTGAGTAGAGCCAGAAGGGCTAGTCTAGGAACAACAGGCACGGAGAGGCACTAACCCTAATCTGCCCTAGGAATGTCGACTGTGGCTGCCAGCCGCCGTGGGAGAACACCTATGGCAGTAGGCGCGTGAAGGACAGCATGCACTGGTGGGGTAACGGGTGCCGCAAGGACTTCGCGGAAAGCTGTAGGTGCGTTGCTGTAGGGGCGCTGCTGAAGAGGGCTGTAGCTGTAGGCATGGTAGATGCAGTAGGGGCAGTTGCTGCTGAGCGTGCGGTTGCAGGTGCGCGTGCGGCTGCCGCTGTGTGTGCGGCTGCTGTTGCGTGTGTGGCGGCAGGCGCGTGCGCTTCTGCTGCTGCGCGTGCAGGCGCATGCGCTGCTGTTGCTGCGCGTGCAGGCGCGTGCGCTGCTGCTGCTGCGCGTGCAGCTGCGCGTGTGAGGCGGCGCGCGGGGCTGCTCGTGACGGGACGGGGCGGATAGCGCGGGGCGGGCTGGGCGAAACGGGGCGGGTAGCGCGGGCTGGGCAGCGCGAGGCGGGCAGCACGCGTGGCGGGTAGTGCGTTGCGGGCTGAGCGAAATGGGGCGGGCAGCCGCGGCAGTGCGTGTGCGCGCGTGCAACTGCGGCTAGCGTGGGCGCGGCGACGGGGCGGGCTGCGGCGGCTATGCGGCTGCGAGCGCGCGACTGTGGGGGGGGGGGGGGGGGGGGGGGGGCAGAGCGGGCCTGCGAATGGGCGGGACGGGGCGTGTGAACGGGCGTGACGGTGCGTGCGAAGGTGGAGGGCGGGGCCTGCTTCACAGGCGGGGCGCGGCCTGTTAACGGGCGGGACGTGGCCTGCTAAGGCGGGCTGGGCGGGGCGGTGCCTGCTACGAGACGGGGAGCTTCGAGGCGTGCTAAGGGACGGGACGGGGCGGGCTAGGCTAGGCTAGGAAAGATACCTTCTCGTGATACCATCTCAGCGATTGAACTGCCGATATGATTGAACTAGGAATGTGAGTGATACAAGTACAACCCTACAACGTGCTATACTCTCTACAGTATCACTCACTACAGCCTAGCATACAAATGTATATAGTTTGACACCAATTGAGGTAGGTGGTGCACGGTTTGCTGCCATGTGTGCTGCCATGTGTTACATGGCTGGGTTGTGAGGCTTCACCCAAACGACAGCTACCGGAGTGATGCAGAGGTTACTCACAACAAACCTCGGCTCGGCACACATGGCAGTAAATTAGTCGCGGAAGTCCTTGGTGGTTAGTGGTCATTGCCTTTACTCCAATGAGTAAACATTTTAAATTATTCTCAGGCTTCATTTGCAGTACGCCTGATAGCACTTATTGACCAGTGTCCAATTGTGAAGAAGCTCTGATTGATCAATGTCACGGTCCAAAACCTGTATAAAATTCAGCCACAGAGGAATACAATACCCAATTTCTGGATCACGTTAGATATCAAGCACAGAACTACCCCGGCGCTATAAAACTCTTTGAGATAATCCTGGACAGGCCACCTATTTCTCAAAAGGGAAGTTGGTGCGGCGGGTGTTTTGACCTCTGATTTCCCGTGCTGCCTTATCATACTCCCGGGCTGCCTCTTCAGGTGTGGCGAACGTCCCAAGCCACCTCCGCACTCCATGGATGTTGTCCTTTATCTCTGCCACCCATCGATTGCCCAATCCCCTCTTCCGGACTCCAATGTACCTCACTTCGCCAGAGGAAGTCCCTTCTGCTCGTCTTTGTTTCTTCAACTTAGGTCCGTTTCCTTTCGATTTTGCAGCAGCAACTGCAGGAGAGGGGGGTGAGCAGCTACTCAACTCTGCACTGGAACTACCAGCCGAGTCTAAACGTGCTGGTTCTGGGTCTAATCGTGCTGGTGCTGGTTCTGGAGCAGCAGTCACAGCACTGGAAGGTTGAGCCTGACTGTTGCCCTGGCCAAAGGACTTGGAGCCCTGTGGAACTTTCTGCTTCCTTGCTTTCTTCGCCTGGGACGCCGCCTTCACACGAGCTCCATCCGGCTGCTCATCCCCCGTTGATGACACCTGCTCAGCCTTCTTCTGTGTCTTCTTCCTCTTCTTCTGCTGCTTGCCCCCCTCCTGCCTCCCTTCCCCTGGCGCCACAGAAGCACCCACCACGGTCGGCTTCAAAGTTACGTCATGCCCGCCCACACCAAGTGCAACCCCTGTTCCACTAGAATCACTCGCGTGTTGTGGCATCACAGGGCATCTTTCCGCACCTGGTGCGCTCGTGGTTTCAAGGAACGCCAGGCTGCTATGGACCGTCAGATCTCCAGATGGATCTCCAGATGGATCTCCAGATGGATCTCCAGATGGATCTCCAGTGGGAACTGCAGAAGAAACTCCAGGTTGTTTCATGGTTGGTACAGCAGGTGGATACTCAGATGGTTCAGCAGACCGATCTGCAGGCATCTCCGCACCGCACGTAGCAGTCAGCAACCTCTTTGTGATTCCATCTGCTGCCTCCTCGAGCAGCAGCGCCTGAAACAGCTCCTCCTGTGCCATGAAGCCCAAACTCGCCTGTGGCAGACCCTCTCCCACCTCAGCATCACTGTTCTGCCCTCCCGATGATCCCTCTCCGACATAACCTGCTGCTTGCGCAGCCGCGGAGAAAATCTTTGTCGGCTTATCCCCTCTCGGGGAATCTCCTGTTCGCATGTTTGCGGCCGGAGGCAAGGAGTCCAAGGTGGCGAAGGGATAGGGTAGCGACAGCGAGTCAGCGAGGCTGAGAGGGTCCATAAGAAACAGGGAGGTGAAGTCGTCGCACCCACCGATGAACAAGCTTTCTGCATTTGTGCACTCAGCAGCACCAGCAGTGGGATCGGCAGCAGCGGCAACGACAGCGGCAGCATCAGCTGCAGACGGAGTGGCAGTATAATCAGCAGAAGGAGCTGCAGCAGCAGCACCTCTGGCGATTGGAGAGTCCGTGACAGGAGATTCTGAAGCATGTACAAGGTAGTGTGGAGGGTGGGGAGCGTCTGGGGAGCCAGGCAAGTATGAAGAGTCCACCGTTGTGGAACGATGGGGCTCGTTCGTCCCAGCAGCAGCAGCAGCCGCAGCAGCAGCAAGCAGCTGCTGAGCTTCCCAAGGGGTAAGAAGGCTTTTGGTGACGTTCTGCCCCTCCAGAGTGGTAGCAAGCACATCGGCAAAGGGAAGAGCCTTCACTCCAGCAGGTTCCCGGTCCTGTCTGCTGTGCAGGCAAGAATTAGTTGCGAGACTTGTACCGTGCAAGCCCTGAGGAGCGGCGGGGGTGATGGACGAAACTGGTATCTGGTGAGGCGCCACCAAGCGGTGAAAGTCAGCGTTCACACCAGCATCATTCTGAAGCATTTGAGTAGCTGGTTCAAAAGCCACAATGTCATAACAGCCGCTCCTTCCGGGAGCCGACTCCTGTGTATCAGCAGCAACGTGAAACGATGACGACTCTGCTACTACTGCGGGCAGCTCATGCCGGATATCACTGAGAGGGGCGTAGGGTGGATGGCTAAACTCCGCCACAGGCGGTTGTGTCCGCGTCGTGGTGATCTGGATCTCACCACCATGCCCTTCCGCAATGCACACCCCTCCCTCATTCCCCACACGCATCTCTCCCTGACCCCCCACGCCAACCCATGCTGCAGTCTGCTCGGACAGGCCGCCACACGCCTCTGCCCATGACCCATCGAAGGATGATATGACATCCGCTGACGCTTGACTGCCTGGAAAATAACTGATGCTGGCGGACCCCTGGTTGGAGCCAATGGTCGGCTCAGGCTGAGACGCATGTGTCAATCCCAAAGTGCCACTGGCAGTGGTTTGTCCGTCGGCTTGAAGGAAGCCGCACACACCGTTGGGGAAGGAGAAATAGTAGAACCGCAGACCGCCGCCGGCTGGATTTGATTCGATTTGATCGGGTGCTACCAGCGCTCCGACACTAGGAACCGCCAAGCTGTTGAATGTAGCCTCCGTTGCGTTCCGCGGCGCCGCCGCGAGCGGTTGACGGGACACGCTGGAGAGATCGGTTGCTCCAGACGGTGTTTGTCCGTCGGGCTGCGCTGCCCCCATGCTACTAACGAGATGCTCAAGCAGTTGCTGGAGAGAGGCGGTTGAATCGACGGATGCAAGCGGCAATGCATTCGGGTGTTCCTGGGTTTGCGGCGATAAAGAAGTCGAGCATTGATGATGCGGCGGCTGCGGGGTTGCTGAAGTGGTCACGGTTGCTGTCTTCGACTCGCCGGGGTCCGGAATGCTGTGGGCTTCGACGTTGCCACGACGCCGCCGGTTTTCAGAGGAGGCCTCAGAGCTTGCATCAGCATTTTCGGAAACGTCAGCCGCATCGGAGTTGGTTAGGACCGATATTGAGGGCGATGCTGGGGCCGTTTCTGGCAAAACTGCCTCTGCACCTTGGTTCTGCCACTGGCCGCCTTGCTTGATCGTATTTAAGGACATATTGCCGCAAGGTGGCCTCTCCTGGTACTAACACCTCCTAAGGAGGCGTTTGGAGCGATCTTCAAGAAGGGGATTCAAACCGCGTTGAGAGAGGCAAACTAAGGTTCGTCAAACAAGAATAAAAGCCCCTCGTCCAATATGCTCTCCCCTTCTACTCCAAAAAAATCCCATCACGAATGGACTACGGGTGGCTCTCTTGTTCTCTCTGCTACGTTGCCTGCTGGCAGCAGGCTGTCACTGCCATTCTAACGATTGACTGACCCATATTGACTTACTATTGAAATCATTCTGCTGGACAACAAGACTTCTACACCTGGTTCTAGATAATATCACTGTGGCAAACCCCGAGTAGCATGAAAATTTGCTTTAAGAGAGTGTGGAATAACTTGGCAAAACAAGTCCTGTTTATTTGCTTAAGAGAGCCGTTGGGCCTTTATTTATGGCAAGAATGTGACTACATAGTGATGCCTGATCCTGTAAAAAACTGTTGCCAATGCATATTAGGATTGCGTTATCTCATCCCAAACCAGTCACAATAAAAGTCATCACGATAAATGGATTTGTTTTAGCACATTTGTTTTTCTTTGACTGAGCCACATACGCATCTAGGTGTATCCACAAACGGTGCTCATTTGATTGCCCACCCTACCATACATTTATATACATGATACCCATATTTATTCAACCTTTTGGGGCGGCAATGGGCGTGTTTAAGCAAAGGTAATTCGCCTTCATCCGTCAAGTGATGTGACAGTAAATGAACGTCAAAGTTACCCTACATACGCCTAAAGCGAATGTGTAATTACCCTACATACGCCTAAGATGACATATAGATGTTATGAAATCAATACAGTTTGAGATTTATGAACACTATCGTAAAATGCTTCATGTGACAAAGATTTGATGATATATATGTGTCATGCGAAAGGATGTGATCTAACGCTGCGTAGTAGACGTGTGTCACCAACATTGTTGAACCGTATCGAGCCCCACTTTGTTCCATGCTTCTGACAACCATCGTACCTCTCTTCATGCTTCTGGTTGCACGCGCCGCATGGTTGTTGCACTCTTATTCGACTCCTATATAATATTCAAGATCCTAACTAGTACTCAAGATGGTAGGAATGATAATTTGATCGAGCAGTTATGTGAAAGACGTCGTGTTTGAGGGCATGTACAAATACGAACCTTGTGTAGTTTCCTTACCCAAAAGCCTATTACATTATTGTAGGTCGTTCCATCTTGATCTTGATGGTGGCTCAAAGCATTTCCGCAAGGATTACAGCTTGGTGGTTCTTGGTAAATAAGGATCAGCTAATCAATTCAACGAATTTTAGGAAATTTATATCAGAATAAAAATAACGGGAAAAGAAAACGAGCGGCAAGTTGCATGCTTGCACCAACCATATAAAACATTGTTTTGTTGGCCACTAACCACCCCCTTTTCCTACAAGACGTCGTCATTGAGTTCACATTCGTTGAAATTGCAAGATTTGTGGACCATCGTAATAATTATCAGTCGACACATGGATGAAGCATAGGTGTTGCATATGAATGCAACGGGCACGCAATCATCAGCCTTGTTCTTGCCTGGCAGAACCTCACCCAACCATGCTTTCGAAGGCTTGCATGTTGGGAAGAGCGTGGCCTTATTAGCACTCCCTTGAGGTGAAATTATGTATGCGTGATTGACTTTGGGAGGTCCAAGAAGGTCCACGACAACATCACACAACGGCGTCAGCTGCTTTGTTGACGGGAGTTGGCCCCGCCCTCGCTTGGGCGAAGCCGAATTCATGGTCGGGTGCGCAGGAGGAGCACCCGACTGCCTGCAGTGGCAGATGCCGGCCTGGGCGAGCAGGTCGACGAAGTGGGTCGACCTGCACGGGACCCTTGCAAAGCCGCCGACGACAGGAAGTCGGCGGCCGACTTCGACTGGAGTGGTCAAAGCCGGGGTTCGTCGGCCTGCAGGGACGCCGACTTGGTGAAATCGGCGGGCGGTGTCGAGATGGGCGGTGGACGAGCATGTACATCAATTGGCGAGCTCCTACCGTCGACTCGGCGCCGACTTGGCAGTTTCCTCGTCGACCAAATAACCAGGGCGATGAAAACCTGCGAAGGAGCGCGGCCGTCGCCCGGGTGGTTTTAGCGAAGCCGACCTCGGGCTGGTATCCTGAGGTCGACGTGGCTCATCAGACGCAACCGTCGGCACGTGGCCGGCTTGGTGCCCGCATAATTCCGGGGCGGTGCACAACGCGCTCGACAGCCTAGACGCACCTGCGAAGTGGGTGCACGCATGCGCTATGGTCACACACGTATGCAACGCAGGCAAGCCGCCTTGCTGCAGCATTGGCAAGCCGCCCTGATGCAGCGCAGGCAGGTCGCCGACTTGCAGTGCTGGCAAGCCGCCATCGAGCTGTGTTGGCAGGCAGGTCACCGACTTGCTGCGCTGGCGGGCCGCCGACTTGCAGCGCTGGCAGGCCGACGACTTGCAGCGCTGGCGGTCGACCTACCAGTGTGCTAGGTTGCTAGGTTCCTGATGTAGTCATTGTTGCCTACCATTCTTGCATCATTGTTCTCAACTTTTTTTTGTAAAACTCTTGTCGTTTTGCCCCGTAAACACACAAGTGCTAAAGAACACAAGGAACACTACGATCACTCGTACCACCCGTGCTTTCCCCCGTAGTCCAGCTCACAGTGTAGAGTGACTTTCCGCATGGTGCGGTGAGTGTGGACGGCCCCGCAGAGAACCTTCAGATTAGCCGACTTATCGGAGCATTACCTAATTCGTGAGCAGGCCGGCAGCCCGTGGAGACCATGACGCCTGCCCCGGCAGAGGCCGCCAGAGTAGAGGATAGCTTGGAGGCACGAGAGGCTGATGTTCGGCGACGCCACACGGCTGTCGAGTTCGGTGAGGCTCCCTTGGAGGTGCTCCTCATAGGCACCCGTGCACAGTGGGCGCACGACCATCCCTCCCGACCGGAAGCGCACGGTGCGTCCGCCTCTCCCCGATCGGTGCACAACGAAGGCGGCGTCGACGACCAGGTCGACGGCCAGGTCGACGGCGACGACCAAGTCGGCTCCGAGTTCACGAGGGTGACGAGAAGAGTGATCAGGGCCGCCGACGTCGGCGTCGGCAGGATGCAGGCGCGAGTGCAGCGGTCGACGGCGGCCGTGGGCAGCTCGAAAGGCAACGTCTTTGGACGGCGTCGCTCTCCCCAGCGAAGTGGAGTCGGGCCGACGTCGGCGACCCACATGTCGGCTGGGCCGGACGGAGGAATTGCGCCGGCGTACGGCAACTTCAAGTTTTCGCCGCACAAGATCACCGTGCCCAAGCTGCTAGAAGGTCTGCACGACCTCATCACGTGGACGGAGTCGATCGAGCCCCAGTTGGAGATCGCTGGGCTGAAGTCTTTCGCCGACGGCGACGTGGAGACGCCGGACGAGGCCGACGTCGAGCTCCGGGCGGAATTTCGCGCCGCTCACTGTTGACCTTCATGGTCATCTCGCGGTGCTGCTCGCTTATGGTGCAGGTCGCCCTGAAGCCGTGCCGACTTCGACTAGACGCCGGCCACCAAGCGTGGTGGTTCATCATGTCAACGTACAAGTCGACCCACGACCTGTACATCGGTCAGCTGGAAGAGCGACTGACTCATCTCAGGATGGGCGAGCAGGAGTCGATGACAGACTACTGCAACCGTGCTCGGCGGATCCTAGCCGACATGAGGATGGCCGGCGTCGACTACTCGACATCGTCCTACATCACGCACGTCGTCAAAGGACTCCCGTCGGGCTACAACCTGATGCGCCGGATGCTGGCGATGTCCGGCGTGCGTGAGTCGCTCAACGAGGACACGCTGACCAGCCACATCATCAAGGACGAGGCCATGCAGGAGGCCGAGAGGCCCACGAGATTCCTTCCACAGGCGAACTACGTTGCCCCGACGAAGCAGGGACGTCAACAGGGGCAACGCGGAAGGCAGGGCGGGGTGGTAGTGGAGGTGGAAAGTCGGCGAAGGACACCGACTGGACGAAGTGGGCTCGAGACAGTGGTCGTGGCGGCGGTGGTCGACGGCGTGAGTGTTGGGTCTATGGCGACCCCGACCACCTTTCCTTCGAGTGTCCCGACCGCGAGGAGTCCGGCGACGACGACCACAAGGGAGGCCGTAGACGGTCAGACGGCGGTCGTAAACGGCGGGACAACAAGCCGCTCAAGGAGAAGCAGTCGTCGAAGCAGACGTGGTCGGCGAAGGACGCCGACTCCTCCGGCGGCAAAACCTGAGGCAACGGGGAGGCGTCGTGCTCGATGATCGGCGTAGTGGAGCCGACGGTCTCGCTGGCTCCGGAAGCCGGCGATGTTTTCAAGGTGGTGGCGGCCGCCGTGCAGGCGAACGCGACGGTGGTGCTGCTCGACAGCGGCTGCTCCCACCACCTGATGGGACGAAGGAGGCCTTCGTCGACATGCAGCCGAGCGGCGACGTGAGATACGTGCGCGGCTTCAATGGGGCGTGTCAGGCCGTTCAAGGCCGCGACACCGTTGCCCTGCGAGGGGATGCCGGGAAGCAGGTTCTCGTCCCCGACGTGCTCTACGTCCCGGGTGTGCAGGCGAACTTGCTGTC